ACACACACACACACACACACACACTGTCATAGGCTGACCAGCTACACACACACACACCAGGAATGAGTATGTCCACCTAGACACACAGGAGGCCACACGCCCAGAGAGAGTAACGTCTGAAGGACAAGCTGAGCAAGTCATAGGCTGCCCTCACGCACACCAACTGGGGTCATCTAGCTATCTACACATAGACACAGAGAGCATGTCCTAGATACACCAGAAAAACACACCTGTCGACCATCACAAAATGACAGCATGCATCCCTGTCTGTCACAACAGAGGACTGAATATGTTGCTTGCATTAACATACACACACATATGACATCCTATCTGCCCCAAGCCCGTGCTCATACATTGGCCACCTTCACACACACACACACACACACACACCCCAGGAAGGAAAACCAGAAGGACAGGCTGTCTCCAGACTCCTCAGATTTCCTGTTGCCTTACAGCATGTACAGGATTACACCATCCCTCTGGGAGCTTTTCACAAACTACCCTCAGAAAAAGCCCTGGTGCTTCAGGGATCAAGCACTCAGATACTCACCCTGTATACCCCCACCCCCCAAAAAAAATTATTTATTTGAATCCTCCAGGCCAAAAGAGAAAGTATTCTCGTGCTTTCAGCATTTACAGCCTCAGAAACTGGACGGGGTTTGGTCCTCTGTCCTGAGGGGCCGTGGAGTCCACCAGGACTCATAGTGACCCTGTGAACGACAGATCTGACCCTTGTCCTGCCCTGCCCCATCTCTCAGCATCTCTAATATGCTCGAACCCATGATGACAGTCCCTGGGCCAATTTCCCTCATTTTCCCAGCATGATGTCCTTTGCCCAGGACAGAGAATGACACCCACTCAAATTTTGACCAGCAAAACAGGATCAGAAAAAGATTTGTTCCTTGTGTTGTTGTGGGTGTCTGTGGGGGTGCCGCTGACCGTGGCTGCTGAACATGAGGGGGCCTGAGGGCTCAGGTGGCTCCAGTCCCATGACCTGCCCGTTCATGACCAGTACTGCCCTTGTGAAGGCCACCAGGACCTTGTCTTGACCTCTGGGGAGAGGCAGGTGAGGGACACAGGTAGGTGAGAGCCGGCACATTCCAGAGCCTGAAGGAGGTGGAGGCTGCACCCAGGGGTGGACAAAGGGCGTGTTCTCAGTGGTCAGCAGGTGAGGGCTGTGGCAGGTGGGAACCTGGGCATGATGGGAGGGACGGACAGACAGAGCAGGTGGGAGCACATTCCGCAGGGGACAGGAGGCAGAGACCAGGCAGAAGAGAAGGGTAAAGGGCATGTCCACGACTGGGTTGGTCAGTGACTGGTTTGTTTGCCAGGTCTCTCCATTTTGCTGATGCAGTCTTGTAGATAGGCCTAGGGAGGGCAGAGCTCCAGCCTGCAACATGTGACAAAATACCTCTTTGAATGGTTGCTTGGGAAAGACAGTGTTACATGATAAGGAATTGCAACAATGTAACAGAACAGGTACAGGTTGTTATATCTGTTTGGTTACAGTGGCAGGCCTGTCCCCACCACATAACAACAACAATAATGCAGAACTATGAATAATTCAACAGGGAACCCAAGTTATCCTGCAGACTTTATAAGGCAAATGCCCCTCCATGAGTAGTCAAAAATAAGAGTGGTGAGACTGTGAAAAGCAGGAAACTGGAGCAGACCAGACAAATGGGGACCTTCTGCCTCTGAGATAAGAGAGTTAATCACAGATAGGACAAAGCCTGCGGCTTCCCCAGAAGGCAGCTTGAATTCCCTGACAGCATTGCAAACACAGCAAAGCCTCACGGGCTGTGGGTGGCAGCAGGCAGGCAGTGCTACGGCTAGCACGAGATGGATGTTGACCTGTAGGTCTTGGGGCCCCAGGCTCCTTCCTCCCTCCTTCCCTCTCTCCTTTCCTTCTTCCCTTCCTCCCTCCATGACTCACAGCTGGGTCACCCCCTTGCTCCTTTGCACAGCGGTCTCAGGACACACCCAGGAGAACAATGGGGTAACACTGCATGGGGGGTCACTTTGAACAGGGGGTGGTGGTGTCACTGACCCCTTGAGTGACCTGGGTCACCCCTCAGGCAGCGGCTGCTCAGAAGAGCCAGGGCTGAGGCTGGTCATGGGGAGGGACTCGTGCTTGGACATAGTGACCAGTAGAGGTTGTCCCTGCTTCAAGGGCATTTCAGGGCAGGCCTGGGAAGGAGGATGGGGGGCCTGGTAGGAGAACTGATAACTGACCACTGAATGGGAGTCCAAGGAGGCAGAGGTACAGGGGCTGCCCCATACAACATTCAAATCAGAGGACCCACGTAATAAGCTGGAGAATTTGGGGACTGTCTGCTTGGACATCCTATTGGGAAAAGTGGAGGGTCAGAGACAGAGAGGAAGGCCCTCCGTGAGAAAGATAGACAGAGTGACCACAGCCATGGGCTTCAGTGTGTCAGAGAGGATCAGGACAGAACAGGACAGGGGTCAGATGAGTGGTTCAAAGGAGTCACTATGAGTCATGGCTGAGTTAATAATAGAATCAAACATTTTCTACAGGGAGAGACTGCCTGTGTTTCTCCCACGAGTGGCCAGTGGATGCAAACCACTGACCCATCAGGTCAATGTGTGAAACTCTGTACCACCCCTGCCCCTGTTGTGATGTGCTGTCAAGTCGCCTGTGACTCAGTGACCCTGTGTACAACAGCCCTAAACCCTGCTCTGTCCTGTGCCAATCGCACTGTCTCTGACACTCCCATCCCATTACCCCAGTCACTGAATCAATCCACCTTATAGAGGGCCTTCCTCTCCTGCACCGTCCCTCCACCCTCCCAAGCATGATGTCCCTCTCCAAGGACCGGTCTCTCCTCACAACATGTCCAAAGTATGTTAGACGGAGCCTCAGAATCCTGGAGTCCAATGGCTCTCTGCTTCTAAGTTAAATAAAAAACATTTCTCAAACCAAGGCCCGGTCCTCGTGGTCATTCGGCGTCTAGCCAACTCTCCGGTGGGTTTTCTGAACCTGCAGATTTTACCAGGAGGACACTGCCCAGATTTGTCCCTCAGAGTCACTCATGAATTCAAACCGCCAGCTAGCAGCATGACTCTTAAGAGCAAGTGCCCAGAGCAAGATGATCAATTCAAGAGTTTCATGGGTCAGCGTTCCTGGAGCTGACCGCTGACCACCAGGAAGCCTAGGTCTAAGTCCCTGACCACTGAGAGGCCTGGGTCTGTGTCCCTGGAGCTGACCCCTGACCCCTGACAGGCCTGGGTCTCTGTCCCTGGCTCTGACCCCTGACCACCAGGAGGTCTGGGTCTGCATTCCTGGGGCTGACCCCTGACCACAAGGCGGCCTAGGTCAGCATTCCTGGAACTGACCACTGGGAGGCCTGGGTCTCTTTCCCTGGCTCTGACCCCTTGACCACCGGGAGGTCTGGGTGTGTGTTCCTGGGGCTGACCCCTTACCACAAGGAGGCCTAAGTCTGAGTCCCTGACCACCGAGAGGCCTGGGTCTGTGTTCCTGGGGCTGACCACCCAGAGACCTGGGACTTCATTCCTGGGACTGACCTCTGACCACTGGGAGTCCTGGGTCTCTGTCCCTGGCTCTGACCCCTGACCACTGGGAGGCCTGGCTTCCCGTGGACCCCTGGACTCTTAATGTCTCTATTTGCTCACAAGTGACAGATGGACACACGCCGTCTGCTCCCACTGAAGGCTTCTGTGGGGGCTGCTTATTAAAAGGTGTGTGGTCCGAACCCAGCAGGGGCCTCTGAAGGAGAACAAGGAGTCCTTCTGACCATGTAAAGATTGACAGCCTCTGAAAGCCCATGGGAGATAGGTCTTCCCCTCGGGGACAGTGCGGTGACCTGTGGGATGCAGTCTGTCCCTTTCAGGGTGCCTCCTCTTCCACGAACTAGCCCAGCAGGAGATTTGCATCAAGCTGTCTGCAGCCCCCAGAAGCTCCCGCAATTACACACAAGTCATAATTAGGAACTGACACCATGATTACAGGTGGGTGGATCAGGGGTAGGAACATGGCCTCCCAGGCAGGAGACCCCGGTTCAAGTCCCCATCAGGGCACTTCAGCCCGTGTCACCACCTGTCGGTCAGCGGAGCTTCTGGGCTGAGAGACTAGGAAGAAAGGCCCTAGAATTCAGCCCATGGCGGCTTTGTGGATGGTGGGGGTCAGACCTGCAGCCCTGGGGATTGGGGGTGTCTGTGTTTGCATGTCGATATGTTAGTCCCCGGGACTGCGTGCCGCAGGAGATTGTATGTTGAACATCAAAGTGCAGCTGACATGCTCCCTCTTTGCTCCAGACTTGTCCCGGGGACCCCACTGTGTCCCACCTCCTACGAGGACTCCGAGGTGAAGCCCCCAGAGTGCACGCCTGGACACGTGGAAAGCCAGGCGGTTTTGCGTTTCTTTTAATCAGTTCTTGGAGGCCGGTGCAGCCCACAGCGGCTCTGGTGTGCAGAAGGCGGAGGTAATGATCTGAGATGGGGGTGCTGAGTCCCCCACAACCACCACCGCATTGGTTGGAAGAGTCTATGTGGGTGCAGCACGGCGTAAGCGTGAGGGCTCCATGCGCGCACGAAGAGGCCACGTCCCTGGGCGCGTCTTCACCGCGTGGCGAGCACCACATCGAGCGGGCACCCCGTGCGCACCACACGCACCTCGCGGAAGCCGTGCGCCAGGAGCAGACGCCGGTAGCCCTCGGCCGTGCGCGCGCAGCTGTGCGTCCACAGCGTGGACAGTGGATGCACCTGGATGCCCGGCTCGGTCCGCTCCTCATCCAGGACGGCTCCCGCCACCAGGAGCGCACAGCCTGAGGGAGAGGGGAGCGAGGGAAAGAGGGGTGTTAGAAGGCGGACCCTCCCAACCCCAGCCCGTGCACAAGTGCGCTGTGGAGAGCCGGGGCTGGGCGCGCCCAGGGCGCACGTGGGGATGTGGGGGTCAAGGGTGGCATAGCTGGGTAGATGAGAGACAGAGAGACAAACAGACATACACACCTCTACAGGACAAAAGATACAAAGAGAGAGAGAGAGACAGACAGACAGACAGAGAGAGACAGAAAGGGAGAGAGACAGAGAGAGGGAGAAGGAAACGGAGTCAGAGAGGGAGAGAGGCAGTGAGAGGGAGAGACAGCAAGGGAGAGACAGAGAGGGAGGGAGAGACAGACATATAAAGACAAAGAGAGTAAACAGAGATAGAGAAAAGCAGAGAGGGAGACATAGTGAGAGCATGGCAGATGGTGTGAACCTTCCAGAACTCCTTATTGTTATTAGATGCCATCAAGTGCCCTGCAGACTCATAGTGACTCTGTGCACAACAGCTGTGAACTGGAATGCCCCCCCTCCAATCATGAGACAATCTCACTGTCTCCGACACACCTGCTCCTTGGCCCCTATGAAGTCAGTCATCTAGTCTGCTGCACTGTGAGAAAATAAGTGTGTGTTAAAGGAGAGAGAGAGAGACAGAGAGAGAGAGGAGAGAAAGGAAGGACAAGGGAGAGAGGGAGAAAGAGAGAAGAGAGAGAAGGAGAGAGATGGAAAGAGAGAGAGGAGAGTGAGAGAAGGAGAGAGAGAGAAAAGGACAGAGAGAGAGGGAGAGAAAGAGAAAGAAAGAAAGAAAGAGAGAGAGGAGAGTGAGAGAAGGAGAGAGAGAGAAAAGGACAGAGAGAGAGGGAGAGAAAGATGGAGAGAGAGACACAGAGGAGAGAGACGTGAGAGAGAGAAGGAGGGAGAGAGAGAAAAGAGGGAGATGGAGAGAAAGAAACAGAGAGAAAGAGAGAGAGAAAGGGAGGGAGGGAAAGAGAGAAAGAAAGAGAGAGAGAGGGAGAGAAAGAAAGAAAGATTGTTAAAAACAGAGAGTCTGGTTGTGGCAGGGGGTGGAGATGTCTGTCCTGTGTCAACTGGGGTGCAGCGGACAGGACCGGTTTCGGGGAGTCCGGGAGGACCACGTGTGTCCCTCTTACCTGGCCTGCAGAGCTGGGAGACCCTGTTTAGTAATCGCTGGGCGGCTCCCTGGCCGCGTATGTCCTGCGGGATTCCCCAGAGGACGTACAGGTCCGCCTTGGGGGGCTCCTCCTGGAGAAAATCACCTGGAGCAAGAAGAGAAGGAGGCAGTGACAGAGGACACCATGGCCAGTGTCAGTGACAGGCGTCCTCCCAGCCTGGGAGTGAGATTCCGGCCGCAAAAAGAGAGAGGGGGGCCCAGGGAGAGGGGCCACCCCACAGCTCACGGGACAGGAGGGACGGAGGGGGAGGACAGAGGAGACACCAATGGGCAGGGTCCAATGGATCTGTGTCCCCTCTAAGAGATGGGATTGTCATGACTGAATGAGACCTTTGTCCCCAGGCCAAATTGAAAGGTATCCATTGCTGATGTCCAGGCTACTCCCTTTCACGTTCTAGGATGTTGCCAGGTGCTCCCACCTGTGCCCCAACTTCCAAGGTCCTTATCCAGACACCCAAATAGCATGCACGGAGAGAGGTACACAGAGACACACACAGCCCACAGACACCAGGCGCACCACACCATAAACATGCACACACTCA